ACGGTACGGACGGTACGGACGGACGGACGGACGGAGGAGGAGAGAGAGAGGAGAGAGAGGGAGGAGAGTACGAGGGCATACACGTTGGACGGGATGTTGGGGCGGAGGGGCGCGGGGGGGAGGAGGAGAACGCGAGTTATAGCAAAGCTGCAGCATTGGCACATGGACAGAGTTCTCTAAATTAACTAACCTGCATGTAAGATTGCTTCATGGTAGTGACAGGGTTGTGAGTATGCGATTGCGACGTGTAATAACCGCCCTGATGATGATAGTGTTGTTGATGATGATGATGTTGGTGATAATGGTGATGATAGGATGGATGCTGCTGCTTCCACCATTGTCCACCGGTACCGCCGCCTCCTTTTTCCGATTCCTCGACCGCCAGTACCCCCTGGCCGACCCCTTGGCCCCCTCCACCCACTCCTAATTGTTGGAGACTTACTTTTTTCTACAAAAAAACATATCCCAACACGTGTCATCGCGCTGTTACGCGACGGCGCTACCGCGGCCTCGAGCGGGGTCTCCTCTCTTTCGCCGCACGCTTGAAATCGATGGGTTTCACGCAAGAACGAGTCGAGCCCATAACTCCATAATCGTCCATCCATAATTACTCCCAAGGTCACTTTAGATACGTCTCCGTATGTAAATAAACCTCTATTATGTCTGTTACGAACTCGAGCTGTTGTTGCACGGAAACTCTCGATATCCAACTTGCTGCTCGGAAATTATCAGCTATAATAATGGAAATTATTATACTAATAATCTCTATCGAATATGCCGAATCTAACTTTTGTTTACTGATTAATATGACTTTTATTCGCCCGATAATCTGAATGTTAAATATAGAATGCTTATTTGTTTAATTTTACAAGCTTACTAATTGTAACGTAATTTATTATTCATTATAATAACGCGATTGCCATCTCTAGTAATTAGCACATTTACAAAATTGTGCAAACACCCACGTGCTGTATTCCAGATGTGCGCGACTTCCTTTCACTACATACTAATCGCCAATTAATAATTCATCGTCGATCCCGGTGTGAACAATAGCGTATGCAAAGTCGGGATTCAAATGATTGCACGTTATTTTGATTGGAAAGTGATACGGCTGTTAATTCGCAAGTAAATATCAACGCATTCGAATAAAAGCAAGCATTTCCAGCCGCGGTCTCGCACATACACTTGTTAACACTTTCGTGACCATTCACGTATTTTTACGTTTATACTTTCGTATAAGTCGATCGCGTAATTTTACTGTTTTTTTTTTTGCATTATTGTATTCGGTCGTGTAACATGAAATGTCGGATTTTACATCAGTTTCAATATAATAGAGCGGCTCCAAGCGTTGAGCCGAATATATAACGATCGCGAAAGTGTTAAGTCCGTCGCACAAAAATTATTATTATTATTATTATTATTATAAAGGCACAAACGGGGATTCGAAATATACAAACGGATATTTAAACGCCATTGTGTACATTCACCTATTAAATATCAATTTAAATTCTTTTGTCAAAATCATTTTTTATTCATAAGCAAACGATACTTTTTGTCTGACAGACTGCACATCGACATAATTGATAAACATGCAGCCAAACGCGATATTGTGATTTCGTATCCTTTATTAATTAGTGAAATATTTGCCGCCCAATTATTCGCATTCCGTCGAAAGCCATCGACTGCGACTCGAGCACGAATGAGTCCCGTTAAAATTACGCCCGCCGAATGTTGTTTCCTACGACGCTCATTCACGACACGTCTCGTTGCATTTTCAACGAGAATAATCCGTCCGCTCGCAAAATGCTCGATTATCAAAGAGTTGATGGAAGTGAAAACAAAGCGGCGAAGAACGATGGGAGTGTGTTGGATGCAGAATAGTGTAACGCATGGTTTCACATTTTCAAGTGCAAGTTGTTCCCAAATAAATCCCAAATTTTTTTTTTTTCCGCGCAGCATCGTTTCATCTCGGAAAATGTAACGGCTAGTGTGTTTGCCCATGTTTGTACGTGTATGCTGTGCGTGTAAACACATGATAATACATTGTAATGACAAAAAGTTAACTAGTTGCTTGCTTACATGTTTTTTTTAGTGACATCGTGCCGCATATCTTGTGTGTATATTATATTTATACAAGCGCATAGCTAATACATGATTATGCATCGATTTCAGTCGATATGTTATTAATTAGTAATTAAAGGATGCCTTGACCAGAGAAGCCGAAGAAAAAGATTTTGCAGAGAAGCCGAAAGGAAGAATTTTATAAATGAGATCACAATAAGATCGTATGCAGTTATAATAAAATTATTTTTAGGAAGTTAAAGGCAATAATTAAAAAAAAAAATTTTATTCCACATTTTACACAATATATATTCAAGCAGTATATTCAAGCAAAGCAGAAATAAAAAATATATAAAGATCGTTCCACGTGATCGAAGTAGAAAAATGATCTTTCCACTTTCGATAACTACAAAAGACGACTTTTTGCATATCTTTTTGTTCAACATGAGTAATTATTCACTGCACTTTGTCAATGTTAAAAATAAATCACTTCGCTTACGTGTCAGATGTATATGTATGCGGAAACGATCTATACACAATGAGGAAAGCTTCTCATTTTGCATAGCTGTGAGGATAGGAAGCGGTTGTTACAAATTGTAACGTAGGTAACGAAATTATAATTTCCAATATGTAGCTTTTTCAATGTTTATTTATTTAATGCCAATTAGAGCAAGACTTCTTTCGACGAAGATAACCGAATACTTGGTATAAAGTATCTTCGTAAAAACTTGTACAATGTAAATTTTGAATATAGATGCTTTCTATTGCCACATTTAATTATAATATCTGTTGTATTATGCATTCACATGTATTTCTAAAAATAATAATTATTTCCTAAGAATTTAGTGGCTTGATGTAAAGTTTCTGTTAATAGTTGTGCATAGACTTTTTGATGAATAAATACAGCGAGAATCATCACCTGCGTGAAGATATTTGCAATATGCTTCTGTAAACTTAATGACAAAATTATTACACCACGGTGCATACCTATAACATAAAAAAAAATTAAACAAAAAATTATTTAACATGCTTGTAAAATTGTGTAAAACGTAACGTGCAGTCATGCAGAATTTATCATGCAAGCATGAGTTATTTAAAACGATATTAGAAAATTTGTCGTATAATCTTAGCAATTTCCTTGCGTCAGCAATTTCCGCGATGTTCAACCTTGTAACAAAAATGCCAAAAAAAATCACCCAATTTTCCAATAAAATTTTTCATTTAATGACTTATTTAACAGACTCACGAATGATTCGCGATTCATGATGCAACGTAAACGTTTGTAGAAAGGGAATAAAATAAATTTTGCAGACGCGAGCTTTACTCGATCGTGGTCATGTAAGGAAGGATCAATTCGCCTTCGGATTTCGCCGTGATATTCGCGTGCGAGGTAACGCGCACGGGTTTATTTTACTTCGGCTGCGAAATTGGGATACGTCCTTTCGTCATTATGTGCGTCCTTGAAATAAAGCTCTGGAAGCGCTTTTATCAATAATGACCGTATGCATAGATCGCGAGCGAGTGCAAGCGGGCGGGCGGACGACTCTTCAAACTTCCATGCCTTATCGCATAAAGTATGCAAGCGTTGCATAAAATTATACAGGATAACAAGGCGGCCGTTCGACGATAGCCATCGATGCGACGAAGATACGCGATTGCGTTCGGCCTTAAACCGTAAAATACGAGCACAGCCTCGTGAATAATTATGACTCGTATAATCTGAGAACGTCCTCGGTGCGCGACGAGCAAAACAGCTAAAATAGCCAGTCCACAAGCGCCGTTTCGATTTTATATCCCACAAGTATTGTAATTCGAACACCACATTTTCTCAATTTCCGCTATTCGAATCGATTCTATTCCCACGAAATAGGAATAAAGAAAATTTATAATTTTGGAATAGCTTGAATTTCACTTGAAATAAATCTGTTTTCTTTTGTAGTAAAAATTCTTTGGCAATCTATTTGGCAAAAAGATTAAATTATTATAAAAATTCGAAGGGGATATAAGTGATTACCACAAGTATTGTAATTCGAGTACCACATTTTCTCAATTTCCGCTATTCGAATCGATTCTATTCCCGCGAAATAGGAATAAAGAAAATTTATAATTTTGGAATAGCTTGAATTTCACTTGAAATAAATCTGTTTTCTTTTGTAGTAAAAATTCTTTGGCAATCTATTTGGCAAAAAGATTAAATTATTATAAAAATTCGAAGGGGATATAAGTGATTACCTATTACTGATTAGATAAACCTGTTACTGGCGCACTGTATTTGAGATTAGACCGCCTTTGTCTGCGATATTGTAAACAAGTTAATATACGTGCGCCGACTTTAATAGCGTTATCGTTCGCCGCGGATTTTCCTGAAAGTTAAAACACGTTCGCAAATCCTTGGAGAAGTGCAAATTAATAACTTTATTATTACTTAACTTAAGAGAACTAATTAATGAGATGTACTTAATGTTTCAGAACGCTATGCGCCATATGTGTATCATTATATCGAAGGTATTTGTAAATAAAATAAAATCGAAATACACGCGGTTATTTTTAACTGCACGATACATCAGAAGTTCAAACACTCTCTTGGCATCAGCTACTTCTCCGATTTCGCTCTTTGCACGGGGAATTCCGCGCGGACGGACTCAAAAGCGGCAAAATAAACGGGCATCGATTCGGCATTCGTCTTAAATACACACATGAATGCCGCATCGTTGCTGTTCCATACAATATAACATATGTGCTGAGCCGCGTGTTAAACGCGGAAGACAAATAGCGGTGTGCGGGGCCGCGTCGTAAACAAAGTGCGCAAATCGCGAATGACACGACGCGACGCAACATGGGATGAGGACCCCCGCGCGACGCCGTCGCGTCGATACGATTGCCTTCTATTATTCCTTATCTTTATCAGAGAGACCCGCGAGCGACGAGCGGTATCGTGGTCGCGAGCGCAAGAGATCAATGCGGTCGTCGAGAATCTCATTGTTTCGCAACCGAGCGAAAAAAAAGCGAAGCACGGATGAAAGTAGTTGCTGGTAGCTCAACAATAAATATCGCGCTTCGTATTTCTTATTTTCAAAAATTGCGCGATTAAATATTCAAAGTTTGATTATATTTTAATTCAATATTTAATCAGTGTGCATTTTTTAATGTCACTCAAATATGTATGTTTATTATTTGTATTATTATTATCGTATCTTTGATGAAATATATAGAAAGAATGTTTTTCTCGGAGATCTATATTTCTTTGTCATATATTTTCATAGTCATCTTTAGATGGCACGTTCACTTTTTGTTGTTGACTTCGTGCGCCGGAGTACAATGCAACGTGACGTCATTTCGCGTGCAGGATGTGCGCCGAATATCGCTCGTGCTCCACAATTTCTGTTTACGTGTCCACCGGGACCATCCCTGCCGTACGATTCTCTCAAAATCCCGTTCGAACGATCCCTCTTTAATTCGCTCTTATGCCGATCTGTGGACCTACTCATGAATTGTTCATACAATCAAAAATGCGAATGTATCGATGCTTAACTGCGCTGATCGAGAACTGTACGAGGTAATTTTAGATATTTGAGAAGTTCGGCTTTTTACTGCACAATTTCGTTGCAGAATTCCAGCAATGAAACTATGCGAACTATTTGACACGATAAGTTGGGATATCGAAAAGAATAGCAAGTGGGTGATTTTGTTGTCTTTGAACAGAAATGCACTTTGGAGAAATTCATGAGATTCTATTTCTATTCGACTCTCTCGTTGTATTTTTAATGGAAATTGATTAAAAATTGGCGTTTGCATTAAAATGTAAATTTTATTCAACAATATTATTAACTAAATTTTAATTTTATTCTACTTTATTCTATATATATATATATATATATATATATATATATATATATCACTCAGATGTCACATAAGTATTAATATTTCAGATATGCTGCAACTGCGGAATATTGCATTCCGTCCAAAATAAATCGCCTAATGCGCGTGAAAGGAGACATTATCCTTAACGCTATCTCTACGAGATATTAAATTAAATGAAAAGTCTGTACACAAATTAACCATGTCAATCGGCAAAGACAAAAGACCAAAGGACATTCGGATATTTACAGCCAAGTTAATAATAGATTTGAAACGAAAAAGGCATGTGTATAAAGCCCAAGTCCGCGACCTCCATCGCGTTGCAATGCATCGTTGATATGCCGTTACGGCTCTTGCGCTCGCGAAAAATCGCATCGCCCGCTCGTCACGAAGAAGCGCACCGACGAGGTGCCTAGGCGGACAAGTCTATCTTAGAAAGTGCTGTATAATCTAATCTGTTGGCTAATAATATACCGCGATAAAAACGTTGCGAACAACGATGTCATTCAGAAATCTTTGCACATTTGACGGTTGTTTACAATAAATATAAATATTTATACGTGAGAAGATTGAAAGAATTCTAAGTGCTATCTTAACGCTAGAAGCACTTGAGAGTAATCAAAATTCGAGATGTACCGGAAGATTGTCTCACACATGGTCAGATTCATACAAGGCAAATGAGAGAAAACATGAAAAAAACATGACCATGTTTATATGAACAGCCGGAAGACGAGAAATATTGATACGAATCGATCGGTAATGAGAATCAACATATCGCATTTGCTCAATTTGTTGAAATGTCTGGAAAAAAATCGCAAGGTCTCGTTGGGCGAAATCTCGGGCATCAGCCGTGTGTCGACGGCCGCCGAGAGAGGAATCGTTCGCATGACGGGCGACACGCGCCGATTCGCCCGTCCTCCTCTTCGCAGAATCACAAGCGCAGACGTGTTGCTAAGAAATTAGATTCTGGTGAATTGCAAACGACGCCGTTTATATTTCGGCGCCGGCTACGTCCGGCGTGAGCGCAACGCGATCATTAGCAAACAACAACTGCATTTTGCGTCTAAGTAAAATTTACGTCACGAAAATAAATGGATGAATAGACGTAACATGATTCATCAAGTGAGATTCGAAGTCGATATTTTTCAGCGACAAAGTCGAGGCGTCAATAATTTTCGCAAATAAAACTTGAGAGGCGAAAGATAAATTGCAAGACATTACTTGTCGCTGAATTTGCGGCAAATCTTTTTTAACGCCATTTTCAAAGTTTAGTTAACGAATATTGTATGTTTTAGAAGAATTGTGGAAAATGACAATTTTTCTCGATACTTAAACTCGGGGAAAAATACGCTCTGAAATTCACAAAGAACAGCATTAGTTGCGTCCACCTTCTGTCAATTCTAAGGCATTGTAAAAAGAATATATGAAATCTGTATACGTGTATAACATGAAGAATATGGGAGGGAGAAATGCACGAGGTTCGACTAAATCAATTCGATGAATTTGACCAACATTGATTAAAATAAATTTGATTAAAATCTAATTTCATAGAACATTGCACACGTGCGCGTCGCTTCAAAGCTCGAATACAAATTTTCCGCGAGGTACTTTCATGTTTTAATTATTTGTACATTTTATGTATTAAAACGCGGTGAATTGTAATGTTCGACTTGTTTGTCGAAGGCGGCCTGCGTATATGCCAATAACTTTTCGCAATTTACAACTCATGAATGAAGTAATAAAAATAGCAGTCGCAGAAACGGATTATATTTACCGAGACTGCAATAACACGACGTCGCATCGAAGCGTTTCACTTGCAACGCGCATCTCTAACTGAAAGCTGATAAATAAAACAAGATGAAATTATCAAAGATACCTTCACATTAAGACGTATATTAGTGTATAATATTGTAATATTTATAATATTATAATTATTATAATTTATAATAGTAGAGATAGATTTAACTATTCAAATTCTAGTTGTTATTACTTCATTTTAAATATATAAAAATCCGTGAAAAATGTATTTTTATTAAGACGTAAGTTAAGTCGCGCAGTATAAATCGAATTCATATCTTTTACGAGTGAAAAATTCGTTTCTGCCCGATATATTATCAGTAATTGCAACTTTATAAACATAGTAGTGATATATGACACGTAAAACGTTTGTACGCAGTATTTGTACTATGTATACGTTCAATCCAATAAAGCGGAATTCTCTTAGCAACATATGTATTATCAACATATCCGAATTATCTAATCCAAACAGCAAGATAGCAAAGCACAGTCTACTACAAAAATATGATCCGATGTTATTGCCTTGACAAATCTACAACAGATATGTTAAAGCGAATGAAATAAAAAGCGTATATGCATTAAAAACAAGAATATGCACACACAACCAAATTACTTTATCTGGATTGCGTGACAGCGGAGGTGCTATGAAAATACGGTCCCATTCACGGCTTTTTACTTATCATTCTCGGGTACACATTGTTATCGAAAACACAGCACGCGCGCGCCCGCTCGCTTGTTTACGCGTCTACGACACGCGCGTGTTACGGAGTTTTCGCGTTAGCGTCGCAACGACGAGCGTCACGTCGCGTCGCCGAAGAGAGCGACGTCCGAGAAATGCGCGCGTGAAAAGGGTGACGCGCTCGCCGTTGCGATGCCTGTTGTCGCGATGACATTGTTCGATGATTCGCACAGCGCGATCGCGAACAACGACGCTCATTGACATTCCGATCGCGCGCACGAACATCATCGCCGAGGATTGCTTCCGTTTGAGCGAGAGAGCACGAAGATTTTTGCGCGTCTCGTCGTTGTTGTCGTCGCAGTCGTCGTTGTCGTCGTCGTCGTCATCGTCGTCGCTGCTCGGACACCGCCTGAGCGAAGAACAAAGAAGAGGGTAGTAGCCAGGACGCGGGGGAGGGGGAGACGTGCATTTAACAACGAGAACGCACCGCTGGCTGGCGACGTAGCCACCGCTCGCGACCGCGAAAGCAAAAGAGAGAAAGAGAGGGAGTCGGAGCGAAAGAGGTGGAGCACGAGAAAGAGAGAAATAAAGAAAGACAGAAAGAAAGGAAGGACGGAAGGAAAAGAGGGAAGAAAGGACAAAGGATGGAGTTGGCTGGCTGGCTGGCTGGTTAGCTAAGCTTGCTTGCTTGCTTGCTTGCTTGCTTGCTTGCTTGCTTGCTTGCTTGCTTGCTTGCTTGCTTGCTTGCTTGCTTGCTTGCTTGCTTGCTTGCTTGCTTGCTTGCTCGCTCGCTCGCTCGCGTTGCTTGGTCGGTCGATGTGAATATATACGCAGCACGCACGAAAAAGGCCTCGCGAATGACAGCGTGTTGCCAGCCAGCCACAATAACGAGAGGATGCCCTGGCGCATGACGCCTTCATCACCGTCGTCTTTGTCGTAAAACGTCGTCGTCGTCGTCGTCGTCGCGATTGGGACGCGAAACAACAGCTACGAGGACGCCCGTAGTGGTCGCCGCGAAGCGCGGCGGCCAGGGGAGCGAATCAGCTGTTCGCCTCGGCAATGACAACATTGAACACGCACGACCCCCCCAAACGTGTGGCACTCTGACGCGCGTTTCCACGGCCGCGTTTCGTCCGCGATGCGGACCGCGTACGTCGTTGACTTACCTCGAGCCTGGTCCGCCCGGAGTGTATCATCCTTTTGCGTCGCGTTATTTTGCAAAACTTCCGGGAGTACCCGCACGGTGCAGTCACAAAAAAAAACGTCGCGCGGCCGAGCGAGTCGCTACGCTTCGCGAGAGAAATGGCCGAGTCTACTGAATGCTCGACGTGCGACTGCGGAGTAGGGGCATGGAACGGTGCGCCGCCGCTTTCCGTCGGCGCCGCCGCGAGATTCGATGCACGCGGCCGACTTGACGACAGTGCGACCAACCAACGCGTCCACAGCCATTGTTTACACGCTTCCCATTGGATCGTTATTTTTGCAAGAGTAGGGCGACTACGACGACGACGTGCACTTTGTGTGCAACGACGTGAGAGAGGCACATTCGTTGCGCTCCGAAACGAGGTAAAGATAAACGCGCGCATACAGCCCGTTATAACCTTGTGTTGCAGGCAGTGCTGTTACCGATGTAGGATCAGCTGTTACCAAGCGGGCGCGCGCGCGCGCGCTCCTTTCCGCGTCCCAGATAAGCGCACGCGGAGTTGAGATCAGCACGTGTTGCTAGGTTCGTTTTGACTCGCGCTTCGCGTAGAGAACGCGGCCGGGAAATAACCCCGTTGACCTGGATTCAATTATGGCTTGACCGAAATATTTAATTTACAAACGAGTGACGGAAAGGTCTCAGGTGACACGCGAAAATTCAATGATCTGAATGTCGCGCGCTAATGAAGTTGATTAAAAACACATAGGTTGAAGATTTTCTTATTAAAACTATTAATGCAGCAACAATAATTTTGCAGTGCGCATATAATGAACGGAAGCATATAATTTAGCGCGATCTCGCATCACAGAAAAAATTTGTAGTTTATTTTGTACCATAGTGAATGATTTCATTGACAACTAATACGCTTAATTGATGAATTATAAAGAAAGCATTTCAATGCACGTCCTCGATTAATATACTGCGTATATAACGCAATCATAATTCGCGTATTATCGCGTTTTATCGTAAACATCATGCAAGGGAAAAAAACACTATGTTTTGATTAATATAATTGATACTCACATCATTACTGAAATATTTAAATCAATAAAATATATTATTTAAATTTTCTAGAATTTAAAATAAACTTACTTACGTACCGCAATAATTGCGTCGAATTGAACAAGAAAAGATTTCTTCAATTGACTTTTCCAATTCCATAAAGAGAAATATAATTTATAAAATCACTGCTAAGAAATGTTAAAATTGAAAAATTTATTTTTATTCTTATTACACGTTTCATTATATTGATTGCGCTTAATTGTGCACAAATAGTATCATCAAACAATAATAAATGATTGATTAGATGTGATGTCGTCATATTTTTCAATCGTAGTATTCAATAAGAGGTCAAGTGATACGATATATTATCAAAATTTTAGATCAAAATCGAAAGAAAAATAGTATAAGTAATGCGTCATATTCTAGAACAAATAATTGATTTCTAAGATTCTCTTAATCTTTTCGAATGTGAAGTGTTGAACGTGAAGTGGTCTTATCGGTAATTGCCACTGTAATATTGATTTACCTCATGCATAATTATAAATACATGAAATATATCAGTATGTAAAACGTAATATCTATTGTAAATATAAAAGCAATTAAACAACGAGCAGATTTATGAAAAAATCGCATGCAGACAAATCACAGTAGAGTAAATAAATTTGTATTAATACTTTTGAAAGATCGATTATAATTTGCACGACATTTAACATGTTAAGCCACTTTATATTTTATAGTAATTTTTTGTATGCGATAAAACTGTGTAGTGATGTGATCGGCAGTGATGATTTATACCTCTGAATTTTTCAATCGGATAATTTTGCGCATTTATTCAAACGTAGTCCGTGCATTTTTATCGCAATCAATAATACAATATAACATCTGATATTTATTTCAATTATCGATATTGATAAATCGTGAAATTTAAAAAATAACATATTCTTTCAAAAATGAATTTCGTATCTGCATTGCTTTCACAAAGCAAAAATACATTTGATGGTACTTTGATTATTTATCGTTTTTAATTTTTTTTTCATTTTTTATTCATTAATTTCTTTTGTTTATCAATTCAAAATTACATAAAATAAAACTTCAGGATTCACTTTAAAAAAGTAAAAGTTCTATCCGTTTTAAAACTTTTTGATTACATAAAACACAATAATTATTTAAAATAAACGCATATTGATTAACAGTTTTTTAATTGATTTTTAATTACTTATTTCAATATAAAACTTGTATAAACAAAGACATTTTCTATTTATCAATTTTTATATGTTTATTTCGACGAGCTTTATGTCAACGATCGATTAACTTCATTGTTATTTATTAATGTAAAAGATTATAAGAAATTGGTTCAATAAACTTTGTCTTCAACAAATAAAATATGTTTGTTTATTAAACATAATCTTACTTCGATGTGTATTTTCAGATTTGTCTATTATAAATTTTGTTGTCTCGTCTGAAGATTTCGAAAGATGAAAATTTTTATCGCTGAGAAATTATGCAGCAAAAATATATGTTCTAAATAAAATTGTTCTTTCACATTGCAGAGTATTGCATAATTATTATTATTGGTCAATATATATTTTTTAATTAGCATTATGATTGTCTTTCTTTCTTTTTTTGTCTCTCCTTTTTGCAGAAAGCAGTAAAAAATTATCTCCATAATTATTAACGCTATAAACTTACCTTATAAGCTTTGACACCTAAAATGTAGACTATTCCTTGAGGCAAAATAGTTCCAGTAATCTCAAATGCAGATATATTTGCTCCAAGGATCCTTTCTCAAAAGATTCATTGAATCATATCCTTGCTTTACATGAATTTTATTTTTTATTTTTATCGACGTCGACATTCTTTGAGTATAGATTTTACGCTTCGACAGTAAGAAGAATGATCGCCACTTCGCATTATCTGAAAACATTTCAAGGTTTTATGATAAGTTGATAAAATGCATGGAAGTATACTTGTGTTTGTGTGTGTGTGTGTATATATATATATAGTATTCAATTGTATTAAAAAATTATTTGATACATATTTATATATAAATTTGGTGGACAATCTAAGTGATTTTATGGACAATCTAAGTGCTGAGTGTCTATCTGTTATTATTATCAACAATAATAATTTAAATAAATAAAAATCTTCTATTATTTTTTCTATTTCGCATGCGCAAGTAAAATTATTTTTAAGACTTGATGCTTTGTATAAGATTATTATCAAACGATAAGATGATCTATATAAAAATCATTACGATTGTTTCGGTCGTCAGTTATTATATTTTTAACTGTTGAATGTGATACATTTTAGGACATATCAAACTAGCGATTTTTCCGCAATGACAGGTGAGCCTCTGAAAACTCTATACTATCTTTAATACTAGTAGCTATAGATAACTAACCTGATAGTTGATGGATGATTGTTCAATTTCTTAACGTTAAGGAGTGTGAAATTTGATATTAAATTGCTTGTCAATATTATTGAGTGCGCTAGATATATCTACTGAATTTATCTCCCTATTCTTTTTCACAAAGTACGTGAGAATCTCTCTGGAAATAGAAAAAAAAAAATAAAAATATTTATTCCTACACAAAGCGAAAGAGACTTTATTAGCATAATTTTTATCTTTTGGCTTAGATGTATTATATAAAAAATAATATAAATGTTGTAAAATATGTCGAGTTTAGATATCACTGAAACCTGATTGACTACTCAATAAGAAAATTTGATCGATATGTTTTTCATTTTTGTTTAAAAAAGTTTTTGTTTCGTTTACGTTTAATAATGAGTGACACCGGTCTTAATACTTTTTATTGTAGTCTTTTATTCGTGAAAACAACCAACTTCTATAATATATTTGCAAGATATTTCTTATTTTATAAATGTGCAACATTCACGTCAGAACATATTGATTTCTTAATCAACTTTGCAATAATTATGCATATCCTTCGCAAGAAAAGTGACACAAATAAAAAATCTAAAATTGTTCAGGAGATTGTTTTTGATTAAAAACCGATGTATTTAGAACACAATTCGCACATAATATGTACAAAATTGGAAAAATGTCGACTTGTGTCAATTTTCTTGCGGAGGTGCGAGATCTGTATAAAAATCGATATTTGTACTCTGAAGAAATGTAAACTAGTGAAAACATAATTTAAAATTACTATACATATTCACGAGATTTGAGATTACTATTTAAACAATCATCGCCGAAAATTCCGTAAATGTGGACAAGATTTAACCATTAAGTCTAACATAAGTAAACCAAATTTCCTTTAAGAGATACTTTTTTATCATCATTGTTTATTTAACGTGTATTTACATTGTCGCGTGTTGCAGTAGCGTCCTCGACCTTAAAAACCGATAATTATATCTTGTTACAAAATTAAAACCGCCCTTGTGATGTTATCAGAAATGTACAAATAAAAACGTAAATCTTAAAGAACATAGCTCGTTCCGATAATCGAAAGCACATTCTGTAATTTCTATAATTTATAGGCTACTATTCGGTCGCATTGATCACCGTATTGGCAGTCGTCGCGTCGGCGGGTGTCGAAGTATCCGCCAATCAGATCTACAACTTTCTGGGAAATGCACAAGACCTCAAATCATGTCACACAACAAAAAATAACATCAGATTGCCTCATCCGACAAAATGTTCTATGTATTTCATTTGTCAAGACGGTAAGATAGGATCAATTCACAAGTGTCCTGGAGGCCTACACTTCAACCCGATTATCGAGCAATGCGACTGGCCTAAAGGATGCATTTCGAGGCCAGATGATGTGGAAACTCAACCAAATGTACCCGAAAAAGATGAGGAAAACAAATCAACGCCCGCTGTAACCCAATGCGCCGGTAGATGTCCAATTTCGGATCCGAAAGATAAAACGATACTTCTACCGACAAATAATGATTGCACCAAGTATTGCGCATGTTTCAACGGCAGTGGGATTATTATGAATTGTCCAACTGGGTTACATTTCGATAAGAAGTTGCAGATTTGCAATTATCCGAGAGTAGCCAAGTGTCAATCAAAATAAAGCAGAGAGTGAAATGCAAAATCCGGCAGATCAAAAGAGGAAATAAAAGTTTATCAGCTTATTAATTGTGCAATGAAATAAAGAAGGAGGGGAGGAGGAAGAGATAATCGATGATGGATGATCGATCAATTTTTATCTCTCTTTCAGATTCTTATTATGTATAATGCATGTGTTAGAAAATATTATATTTAAATAAATCAAAATTTATATTTATACACCAGTCGAGTCCCACTCACAGTCGTGGACACATGTCACAGTTCTAATTTCTTTTACATAGTCGTGACGAACCGTTCAAGTTAGACGGTCCGTGGCTTCACACGTATATATTTTTACTAACCACAAATAATGTACTACACGTATTATCAGAGGATGCGTTTCCTTAGTCAAAAAACTACTTTATTGATTGTCATTACCAACGCTTCTCTAATCATGTACTAAATTTTATATATTTTTTGTATTACACTGAAGATGGCCACGTACCTTGGCCGAAACGTCTGTATAAATTTATAATAAAGAAAGGAATTTTTGAGCAAATCGATCCAGCTCTTGCTCTATTGGCTTTATATATTAAAACAATTTTTAATTTAATTAAGGAAGAACAATAACCTAATATTATTTGTATTTTCAAAATTTATATAATATACTTGTGTTAATACGTTGATGAGACGAAACTTAATTTACACAAATTACCGAACTGATAAATGTTATCAATTGATAACAGAGTTATGATATTTATATCTGCATTTTATATCTACATATTGTTGAAATGTCTATGAAATTAATTAAAGCATTAAATTTATTGTCATTTGTAATTGTCCTTTTTTTGTAAGTTTTTTTTATCCTTTTTTAAATTAATAATTTTTTTATAACTGATTTGACAACAGACAATTTACAATCGTAATCTTAGTCACTTTCTAAGCAATTTGACATTTTCTTTGTAAAAAATAATTTTTAATTTTCAATATTATATATCTTCGCAATTAAGCTTAGAGTTAAAATTTCATTTAAATAAAAAGAATTTCAAATTATTTGAAGACAATTCATTATAATAAAATTTTATAAAATTTAAATTAGTTCTGAATTAAAATTGAGAAGAAATTCAACATTGTGTAAATTTCAAACCTTTCCTCTTTTTTTACGAAATTTGTTTTGACAATTTAGCATATCAATTGTTAGAGAGTTTTTAGACAAAAAAATATTTCATATAAATCTTTTCAAACTTATATTTTTCAAATTATTTCTATTATAAGTTACGTAACTAAAATGGTAAACTATGTAATAAAAATAAAAATTTTATAAGACTGACGTCTATAAGACTGTAGTATTAAAGAAAGTAAGTTTTTAGATAAATTTATTGATAAATTTATTGCATTCATTTATTGACATCCTATATCTGGAACATACACACATATTTTCATATCTGAATCGATTTGCTTAAATGATTTCTTTATAATAAAGATTTTGTAATATTAGATATGATAAGCAACATAAGAGCTAGGTGATAACGCGCAGCGCACTTATAAAAATCATTTCGTAGAGGTGCCAGATCATCAGTTAACAATTTAAGGAGTGAAGGAATAGATCCCAGTCTCTAATTCTAGCGACTGGACTTTTCACGATGAAAGGTGAGTGTACGTATTTTATGGAATTTCTATAATGTGATAAAGTGAAGACAAATGAAAAGACGACTAAGATATATATTATACATCTGATCGAGTGAGTGGCGAATATATAAAGTAATCGTTTCATAAAAAAAAAGAATGTACAGTGCAATTATGTTTGCTTATGCATAAATGCTGTGAAAAAGTGTAAAATAATAATGACAGATATATGCAAGCTTAAGATATTTTTAGAGCTATCTCTTTTTTGTAAGTCTTATTTTACAAGTAGCGAGCGAAAAGTAGTAGCGAAAATTATGTAAGAGGCATTATCGAGTATTTGACTTATATAATGTATAAAATTGATTGCACAATTTAAATAAATAGTTTTGATATTAATATATTTTTATACTAAGTTTAATTGGCTTATACATTATGATTTTAATAGAATAATTAATAGAATAATAATATAATCATTAATAAGCAATATTACTTATATTATTTTGAATTTTAGGTACATATTTAATGACCATTTTATACGTGGCCATATTGAGTGTTGTTGCATTTGGGATATTATTCGAGGATGATATTCCGACAAAATGTCCTCCTATCGACCCAGAGAATACAACAATTCATCTAGCTCATGAAACCGACTGCACAAAATACTACAGATGTAACAAAGGACAAAAGGGAAAGCCATTAGACTGCCCCATCATGGATAGCTGGGGTAACAGGTTACATTTTAATCCCAAACTTCAAGTATGCGATTGGCCATGGGATGCAGGATGTCAGATAACAACGTCGACATTATCAAGTTCTTCAACGTCGTCAACTTCGCCAAATACATTGACGCCATCGACTTCATCATCAAGTTCTTATCGTCATCAACTCCGCCAAGCACTATAACATCATCAACTTCATCGTCAAGTTCTTCAACATCGCCAATTCCGTCAAGCACGACAACATTATCGACTACATCGTCGACTCCGCCAAGTACAACAACGTCATCAACTTCATCGTCAAGTTCTTCAACATCGCCGATTCCGTCAAGCACGACAACATCATCCACTACATCGTCGACTCCGCCAAGTACAACAACGTCATCAACTTCATCGTCAAGTTCTTCAACATCGCCGATACCGTCAAGCACAACAACATCATCCACTACATCGTCGACTACGCCAAGTACAACAACGTCATCAACTTCATCGTCAAGTTCTTCAACATCGCCAATACCGTCAAGCACGACAACATCAACGTCGCCGACTTCGCCAAGTACATCGACCTCGTCGACTCCGCCAAGTACAACGTCATCAACTTCATCGTCAAGTTCTTCAACATCGCCGATTCCGTCAAGCACAACAACACCATCCACTACATCGTCGACTCCGCCAAGTACAACAACTTCATCAACTTCATCATCAAGTTCTTCAACATCGCCGATTCCGACAAGCACGACAACATCATCTACTACGTCCTCAAGTTCTCCAACATCGACATCGTCAACTCCGCCAAGTACAACGTGGCCAGTACCATGGACTTGTAAGTCTGATGGCAAATTGCACCTCTTACCTCACGAGACTATGTGTGATCATTACTACTACTGTTTTAACGGCAAAGTAAACCCAGTCCCGAAAAAATGCGAGCGCGATTTATTGTTCAATCCAAAACTCCGTGTATGTGATTTTCCAGAAAATGTAATTTGCACCACTGGCACTATTCTGCCAAGCATGGTTACCGTACCATTAACTACCTCTCTCCAATTAAACACAACGACATTACTGCCGATGATTGTGATGCCGATGCGATCAACCACACCGCTACTTTCGTCATCGCGAACGGAACTATCATTTCCAATTTCTGAAGCTTGTGGACCAAACGAGATAACGCGGACTGCTCATCCATGTCTATGCAATTTGTATTACGACTGCGTAAACGGTGAAAAGTTATTGCGAACATGTCCGAGGGGCAAGCATTTCGATTACGTGCGGAAGATTTGTGATTGGCCTTCCGTTGTGAATTGTATTCGGACGTATTCGACTTCCAATATCGCAATTCGCGATACTAATATTAAGTGTGCACCGGAAGGTAGAGCATTTCAGCATGACAGCAGTTGCTCCGAATATTATCTATGCTACAAGGGTGAGAAAATTCTAAAATACTGTATAATAGGACTGCATTTCAACGTTAATCTTCAGATGTGCAATGAGCCTCAAAAACCAACTTGCGATTTAACTGGTAAATTCTTTTCGACATTAATCTCAAACGAATGCCCTCCTCCGGGTTCCACAAAAAAAGTACTATTGCCGCACGAATGTAAATGCACACAATATTACCAGTGCATTAAAGGAAACAAGGTTCTTCGATATTGTCCTGATGGTCTGCATTTTGATAGCTATCGGCAGATATGCATGGATCCGTCTGAAGCTAATTGTGTTGAACCTTCTACAACAACAACAACAGTAACTCCGACAACAACAACAGTAACTCCGTCAACAACAACAGTAACTCCGACAACAACAACAGTAACTCCGACAACAACAACAGTAACTCCGTCAACAACAACAGTAACTCCGACAACAACAACAGTAACTCCGACAACAACAACAACAATTCCAGAGGTTTGTCCTCCTCCAGGCTCAACAGAAAAAGTATTTTTACCTCATGAATGTGTATGTACGCAATATTACGAATGCATCAATGGAAAGAAGGTTCTCCGGTATTGTCCAAAAGATAAGCATTTTAATCCTCGTCAGCAAAACTGCACCGATCCATCTGAAGCTGGTTGCGAATCGACAGGCACTCCAACAGAAAGCACGACAACAACAAAGTCGACAATAACTACAACAAAAAGCACGACAACAAAAAGCACGACAACAAAAAGCACGACAACAAAAAGCACAACAACAAAAAGCACGACAACAAAAAGCTCGACAATAACTACAACAGAAAGCACAACTACTACAAAAAATCCTAACCCTCGTGAAGAATGTCCCAAGGGATCAAATGAGACTGCGCGGATTTTGCATCCATACCAATGTAACTTATATTATGAATGCGTGAACGGCGAAAAATCATTGCGAGAATGCCCGATCGGCAAACATTTCGATTATGTGCGAGAGGTTTGCGATTGGCCCTCCGTTGTGAACTGTATTCGACCAGTTCCAACTTCCAAACCTGCAACTGATTCTGAAAATGTTGAAAATAACAATTTAATACAATCTTTCAATGGTGAAAATAACAATGAACGCGAAATCTTTAACAACCTTGATCCATCTACTTGCATTGGTACCTGCCCTGAAGAGGATCCTGAATATGCAGTCTTACTTCCAAACGACGAGTGTACAAACTTCTGTCTGTGCAGTAACGGTATAGCGTATGTAATGTCATGTTTTGTACCACTTTATTTCGATTCCGTAGATAAAGTTTGCAAACAAAAGAAAGACGCTGTTTGCGCGGTGCGCCCATTCAGTCAAGATCGCACTTTCGTAATCAATGGAAAAATTGACAACGACAATTTAATACAACTTCTCAACGACAAAAATAACAATGAACGCGAAATCTTTGACAACCTTGATCCATCTACTTGCATTGGTACCTGCCCTGAAGAGGACCCTGAATATGCAGTCTTACTTCCAAACGACGAGTGTACAAACTTCTGTCTGTGCAGTAACGGTATAGCGTATGTAATGTCATGTCCTGTACCACTTTATTTCGATTCCGTAGATAAAGTTTGCAAACAAAAGAAAGACGCGGTTTGCGCGGTACGTCCATTCAATCAAGATCGCACTTTCGTGATCGATGAAAACGTTGAAAATAACAATTTAATACAATCTTCCAACGACGAAAATAACAATAAACGCGAAATCTCTGACAACCTTGATCCATCTACTTGCATCGGTACCTGCCCTGAAGAGGATCCTATATATGCAGTCTTACTTCCAAATGAGGATTGTAAAAAGTTCTGTCTGTGCAGTAATGGTATAGCGTATGTAATGTCATGTCCTGTACCACTTTATTTCGATTCCGTAGATAAAGTTTGCAAACAAAAGAAAAACGCGGTTTGCGCGGTGCGCCCATTCAGTCAAAGTCTCACTTTCATGATCAATGGAAAAGTTGACGAAGACTATATGATGCAATTCATAAATGGGGAGAACAATGACGAATATAAAACGTGACAACTTTTAGTTAAATATTATCTTTTTCTTAGACGATATTTCTCAGCAATTTAGACTTTTGCAAAATCTACGTTCATTTATCTGTTTATAATTTTTGTAATATGATAATGTGGAGTATTAAGTTGTTCATCAAATTTAATAAAGATTTTATTGTATTAATAATAAAAAGTAATTATTTCTTTTGATAGTTATTTATTTATATAATTGTAAGCTGCTATAATTTTACGCCATACTATCGCTATATTATATTGTAACTTATTAAATAAGGATATTGATTATTTTTAAATTAATTTTGCTTATTATAATAAATCAATAAATCATTGATCGTTATAAATCATTGGAATAATTCTCTATTGCAAATATTAATGCAAATATATTGTAAATTATTAATTCCTGTTAATCATATTTTGGCATTATTAATAAAAATCCAAGAATATTTGCTAAATTATGACTTTCTTTTATATCATGTGTAATATTTTGAATGTTTGATTTTAATTATCATTGCAATATTAAGCCTTCAAAATTCAAGTAATTTACTTTAATATTTAATATCTGAAAATAATAGTTAAATAAAGCTAATAAATACGATTGACAAATATATATTAATAATTTTCCTGACAACAATGATTTTTTATTTGATTATATAATGGATTTGACAAAATCAATATATTAGCCAACTTTATGCACGTTTTTATTAAAACACACTTCTGATGAACGGACGGCAGTTATCTCCCAATTATATTCGTTTATAAACATCCAAGTTCAGTTTAATTTTATTATGCTTCTTAAATATCGTTAACAAAACAAATTTATACATAGAATATAAACAGGATTACAATCACGCTACATAAACCCGTATCGTATAATTCGTAGGATTCGAATCTCATTGATTGAATTCCGATTTGAATGTTATTATATATCTCGACGAGAAATTACTTCGCGTTATTTTATCATCCTTCTGCGCCTTCGTCATCATCAGACATATTTCACATCACGCAATTATCTTGGACGAGATATTCCACGACAAAGAAAAAAAAGCGAGAAGTCAATTTAACATCGATAGGTGTTATGATTTCCCATAAACGTTGGGACGGTGGAGGACTGCGTATATTTCACTGTCGAGGGAGAGGAGATTTAGGAGAGAACGCTACGGGGTTATTTATTGTACATCATCGTAGTATTTGCCGATTACGTCCGGAAAAGAGCCAGGTCGGATAGCAACGTGCGAAGTATGCTTGTCGGCGTCCGCGCTCTGAAAGTTGCGACACAGAACTTGCTCTTTGTTTTGCCTCATCTTCTCCTGCTTTCGTTGTTCATTGCGCCACTGCGCATCCAGAATCATTCTCAGGGTTTCCCAAGTAGAGCCCAATTCTGACATCGGTGCGATGTCACCTCGTTTGCCATATCTGCGTATGGCAAGTGATAATAATCTTAAAACTGCCTTAAATTCTATGTTGCAATTAATTCTATTCTTTTAACTGTGCAATTAATCTTTTGTTTTTTTTTTAGCTTTAAGATAATCTGCTATACATGATTAGCGTACATCTTGAATACTTATTTACGCTACTGTTTCAATGTTCAAGCTTCGATAATTGTATCTATCGATAAATTCACTTAAAAGTTATTTCAATGTGAAATATTTACAAAGTGATGCATACATTGTGCATTAATTCAAGCCATCAATTAGTAATTTAAGCAATCTCATGATTCATTTGATTTTCATCACGAAAAGGCAGACATCAATATTTGTGGAAATAATTGTTACCTTCCCATCGCGGATTGGGAATAAGAAAAAACCCGATTGAGATATGTTTTCAGTTGTTCAGGGCTGACGATCTCCTTCGGCCTGGTCGGTCTAGCCATGGGTTCCGGATCGCTGCGAGCAATCGTCGTTCCGAAAACGGCTATCAAGAGCAAAGCAGCGGAGAAACAAGTCGCACTCCCCGTCGCTTTCATTTTGGCGGCTTATAGATAGTTTCGGTTGCTGCAAAGACACAACGAGGCTTATATGCGTGAAGATAAGCCACGTAGAGAAACAACGTAGCTTTAAACTTCACCATGTGTGTGATCATCCCGCGGAAGAACACCGAGATCTTTTTGCTTCTTTCGACGCGACGAAACTTTTCGCCTACGCAACGCGCATCAAAGAAATACAATCGAAAGTTTTCTCAGCGTAATACGTTCTGAAAGATGGTAAAACTTTCCCGGGAGGACGATCAAGTACCGTTGAACTCTGCTTTGCTTCGACGCGGCGAAAATCCTCCGAAAATTTCAAGAATGACGCAACAAGGATGATAAAGCGCGATCATTGGTTTCTCTCGACCGCTCGAAGAATTCTCAATCAGAAATTTCTCGAGAAATTGTTATTAAATGCTTCATTCTTGAAGAACACGGCGCGGAGTGGTCCAAGTTGGAAGAAAGTAACATTCCTATGATACTTTCCATTCATTCGGAAATCGTAATTGAAGCTAAATTTAATCATTACTATATTTATATGAGTAGTTAAATTTAACTGTTACTATATATTTCATTACTATACATTCATTGTATATTTATTCTTGTAATCCCAAATCTTTTACACTTTTTTTGCTTGTCTTTAAAAAAAAACGATCGAAAATATAGATTTTAATCAAAAATCTTCGAATTATCATATTCTGGGAATATTAAATTGATTGATTATGAGGTATAGAAGATATGAAATACGTACGGCAGTTAAATGATATTTACATATGCGAAACCCGGCGAGCAATGCAATAAGCTGTTCTATGCACGCAATTACACGACAGCTTCAGTTAGAAACTTCTATATTCCCTTCATTCCGTAAAATTATTTAGCTCTGCATAATTATTAACTGATATTAACTGATTATTAACTGATAATTACTAAACAATCAATAATATTATTAATTGGAAATAAGCACTGACCCATAAATATCATCCGTACAACCTCACCATTCTTGTTCTGCATTACATAAAAGAATGAAAAAAATTTAATTGATTTCTTTATATAATAGTATTTTATATTTAGCTCTATTAAACAATAGAATTTAGAGATATAAACTTAAGGATATTAATATAAGTTTACATGGAAGCAGTTTGCGAAACATATTAAATCATCCGCGTTATCTGTTAAATAAAGCACAGAGTAAAACAGAATATGTAACTGATAAATAATTAAAATAACATCCGTTACTTTTATTTCTGTATTTTGCGTTTTATCTTTACGCATGAGAGATCGAATCATGGATCTGTCAGATGCATATGCAACCAATTAAAGATTTAATTATAAAAATGTCGATAGAATTATGATCATTGTATATAATAAAGTTAATTTCCTGTACGTTTCAGCCGTTAAGGTATTAATTTTTTTTCAGAAAAAATAAATTTAAATAAAAATTAGATAAGAATTATAAAATATGTATAGATATAAAATAATCAAATTAGCGAGAAGATCAAAATAGCAAGAAAAAAATTTTGTAACGAAGATAGTCAAAACGACAGCAAGTGAAATTCGATGAATACGAGAACAGTGAAGTTGAGTTACCTGTTGTGTCGTGACGGATAACTTTATCGATAATGGACGGACTCCGTGGAGGATACCGAACCGTTTGAAACCGAATATCGGCGTACAGTCGATCAAGGATCGAAGTTTCACGTTAGTCCGAATCCAATACTCTATCAAAAGTATGTTAGATGTCGAAACTTCCTCATGTCACCCACACGGCCAAATATTAATACCGTAATAAATATAGATACAGAACTAATTCAAGAACTGTAGATTCCGAGAGGCCAATCATTATTTTCCGACTGTCAGAGAAATATGTCAGCTGAGTTTGCACACCTAGCATGAATGCTTTGACATTGGATATCGAGACGCAATCGAGATGAATAAAAATATTTTTTCTAGGTTCTATTGTATTGCATGCTCTTAAATTTCAACGCATTTCTTGGGCAATCTTTGAAACGAAATGCATTGCGATCGACCGTAATATTTTGTCTTTAAAGGACGCGTATTCTCAGCGGTATTATAGTGAGCTTTAAACTAGATCGTGAGGAAAAAATCAGTACACGTGCTCGATTTTTTTTTAAATGTCAGAATTTTTCTTCTTATTACACCGAATATAAAATGCAGCAAAATGTAGTTCCATATATTATTTCGTATATTTTCGCGTTCTTCGAATATAAAGCGATAAATTCTGCTGAATCAACGCGCGGAAGAAACGGAAGATACTATGAATTATCTATAGAAACGTAAAGAATTTTGATTATTCTGTTAAGTATAAGATATTGATGTTTAACATTTTCGCGATTTGCATTGGAACAGGTATTCCTGTTCATAAGATATCCCGAGAGAAATAGAGTGTAAAGTAGAAAGAATCTATGTAGAATCTATAATCTTGTAGCTATAAAAATCAGTTTACAAAATGTAGATTATGACAGATCTAAGCAAAATTAATTAACCAAATACAAATAATATATATTTTTCGTTTCATAAATGGAAGTCTGCTATTTTTAATTAAAAAATATCTATTTTGATCTAATTTGTGAGCAAATAATCCTGCCAATTTAGGGAAATTCCAAAAGTCATATCATGGATTGATAATATAGTTACAGAGATGGGAATTAGTTGCAACTTTCGGCTCGATTTTCTGATTGACGCCTACTATTCCCTCCTTGCCGCTCGCATGCTAGCAACGAGTCACCAAACGGGCTAACAACGTCCGTAACTAAGATACGTGATATTTATTGTCAGCCTCAGGAATGTCCATATCACAAATGCAACAAGATAAAAAATATGGGAACAATAAATTTCCACATCACCTGTGAGGTACTATTATTAACGTGTCAATAATAGTAAATTTATTGTCCCCATATTTTTTATCTTGTCACATTTGTGATATGGACATTCCTGAGGCTGAATATTGCGCACCTTAGTTACACGCGTTGTTAGCGCGTTTGACGACTCGTTACTAGTATGCGAGCGGCAAGGAGAGGGCAGGAGGCGTTAATCAGAAAATCGAGCCGAAAGTTGCAATCAATTCCCATCTCTGATATAGTAAATTAAAGATAAAAAGTTGTAAACCTAATAAGTCTTACAGAACGAGAAGGATAAAAGAAAAATGTCAATATATAATATAATCAATGACGCAATTAATTTATACTTAATGAATTATAAAAAAAATCTTTTAAACATATTAAAAAACATTTTGTAATATAAATAAAAAAATATTTCTTTTAATAACACGAGATAATGTATAGATGAAGTATAAATAAACTCAATAAAGACGCATCGCAATGAAACATACGGAACAGATTGTAAACGTGTAAGACGGTAATAACGATTTTCACGCTTAATGTTTGGTCGGTCGGCACGTGCAACTGAATGAAAATATCCGTTATTGTTGGTCGACATTGTACAACCGTAAGACTACATCATCTGTTATACGGCGCGAATGAATACAGCTCGTCTTACAATGAGGCGCGCGTAGGGTATACCCGTTTCAATTTTGATACCGTCGACTACGTCGACGTTATGCTTATAAAGACTCGCATCGAGTACACACCTCCCCGTGGGATTTTGCAAGTTGTATTCCACGAATCTTACACGAGTCGCGTAATAAGAAGCGCGAAATGAAATATTACGTTGCCAAATATGGTCCAAACGTGATATCTTGAGAACGCAATGCAACATTACGCTTATTGTCTGCTGTATCAGAAATGCAAGAAGCTCACGAGTGACATTGTGGCGCAAGAATATGTCGAGAAATGCGTCGAGTAGTTGTACAAGTTATCATAAACACCTTTAGTATAATTTTATAGAAATTTCAAAATTACAATTATCTAAATTTCTTCAAAATTTTATCAATTTTTTTTATTAATAGCAATTATAAGAATTGACAGTTTTATAATTTTGTAAAAATGATTAAACACATCCGCCAATTTTTTTCAAGTAGCAATACTTTTTAATAGACTATTAATCACGTTATATATTGAAAGAAGCAAGATTATTATCAAGTTAATGCGCAATTAATCTTTACGATGTCGTTTTAAATTTTATTGCTCGCTAAAGAAGACTGTAATATTAAGATAACGGTTCGGATTGACGCTACGGCATGATAATGCATCAAAAATTTGCGCTTTCATGGAAAATGTTGCACTATTATTGATGACTCTGTGATTACAGCTATTATTCATTCAATTTCAATACTGAACCTTTCAAGGATGCATTGCAAATAAATCATGCACACCATAAATAAATGCAGGAAATATAGATAATTATCTCAGTTCAAAAAATCATATGTATATAATGCCAGCTAAAAACTAAGCACTTAAACATTGAAAATTTGATAATTATTTTAATAATATGCTCGTCTATATCAATTTTTCAAAATATTACACGCATATAATTTAATAACGTATCAGGTATCGTTGAAAAATCAAAGCACAATTTCCTAAAAATTCGCAAACACGATAAACTATAGAAATGATCTTATTCGTAGTGCGATACTCTGGCCGATATTCGGATCGAAATTAATTACGTGACTTTTACGGGTATCTAAAGTGATCGCTATTATCCGGCAGCGGGCGTGAAACGTGGCTAGAGTTCATAGCACGAGACGTTTTTCATAAAGTCGAGGAGCATGCCGAATCGGCCATCTTCTCATCTCTTAGTAGCTAAGAAGCTAAAAGTATACATCGTTAGCTTATGAAGCACCGTATAAAAATCTGGCTGGTAAATCTGTTTAAAGAATAGAGCAAATTCTACATGTAATTCTGTGATTTTCGTATTTAAAATATTGTTAATAAAGTAACCTTCCGGCAATTTCGTAAAAAGTTTTAAATAGTATTTCAAACTTATTTAATTAAAATTTAATTAACATTTATCTTAATTAAACATCTCTTATACATATAATGAAATGTAAATATCACGACATATCAAAAATAATAATTAATGCTGAAAAGAGAAAAAGTTCCAAAAAAGATA